TTCTCTCTTGTAAATAATCTAAAACATCTTGTTCTTTAATATTATGATGAGTAAATACTTCAGTATCAATATGTGTACGATCAAAGATCACATAATCATAACCAGTTAATCGATTTATCTTTTCTACTTCTTTCTTGTAAGTTTCTAAAATCACATATTGAAAAAACAAAGCACGTTTTTCAACATCTTTATAGAATAAATCTAATTCATGTTTTATTTTCAATGATGTTTCAACTGGTCGGTATACTTTTAACTCTTTATCTTCTAAATATTTTGCAAATTTTTCTCCAAATATAGTCTTTCCAACTCCAATTCCACCTGTTAAAATGATAACTTTTGGTTCAACTTTTTGTCTTTTAACTGTCTTGTAAAAATTTTCTGGATATTTTCTCTTCAAACGTTTGAAAGATTCTTGTTCAATTCTCTTTTCGAATTCTGGTTGAAATTCATATCTAACTATCTGAAGGGTTTCATCAATATCTTGATCAATTATAATTCTTTCTGCTTCAGACATATTTCTTTTAACAAACACATATTCTTTTTTATCAGATACGATATCACGCAACTTTTTCAAAGATGATTCAAGTTCATCAAGATACTCTGTAGTTTTTATTTTAAACATTTTACTGATTACCTAGATAAAAATTCATTCGGTATAATACACTGAATGAATAAAATACAATATCAATAAGGAGTTACAGACTTTCTGATGAGTTTTCCTATCCTAATACTTCCTTTAAATTTTATACCAAATATTTCTGTTTGTGTGTTTTCATCAGTTGTTATATTTTCAATACAAACAGTATTAGAATCAGAATCTGAATGTAATCTCTGCGCTTCTTTAATCTTATCTATTAAATTATTATCGTCACATAATACTATTTTTACTTTTGAATTATTTGCAAGATTCTTAGATCTAGTTGAAAATCTTGCATTAGATACAAAGAATCCTACTGTATTCTCAGGTTGTTGCATTAAAACTGCTATGAATTTACTAATTTCACTAGGAG